GGCACCATTGCACAGAAACATCATTCGGCCCGTATCGACCCGGCAGAAAACTGCATTGAAAATGCAGTTTCTAGTGGTACGCAAAGACTGTTTAATAATTATCAGTTGTCTATTGTTCTAAATGTCGTGCGCAAAGTTGTTTCCCCGAGCATATCTAGACCGTAAAAAAATGCAAATTTACCGACAGATTTGAGGCCATGTTAACCAAGATTTTAAGAATGTTTCAGATTACGGATGACTACCGAAGTAGAATTGTAATATTTTTATCCTAAAACACATTCCTAAAGGTACTTCACATAAAATAGACTACCGGATGACCTCTTTTCGTCCTCCAAAAACAAAGCCCAATCGATAAGAGCGACTACTTACTTCGTGAGCATTTTTGTAGTTTCTGGATGACCCTGAAAATGCAACGTTGCTTTATAGAAATCGTAAGCAGCAATATATCACATATGTTGGACATATGTGTAAAATTGTTATTCGTAGACAAACGTCATTAAAATCCATGCATGCGCAACCTCTTTTTAATTAACCATCAGTCTTGTTCTACGATAATTAGCTCATCATGAAACGCAGGGGAAATAGACAAGGCTTCGAAATTACCGCAGGGGTACCTTAAACGATATGAGGTGATATATGCCAGGATTCCTTGGTATTTAAATTGTAATTTTCTAGGCCAAACGACAGCAATAGTGCAAAGGCAAGCTGCACTTGGTGGAACTAACCATGAAAGAACGAGGTACATATTTCTGTTTCATATCTTGTACATCAAATTTGCTTAAGGAAACAGTGATGACCCCCCCAAATATGGAGCAGTTCGGATTCACAAATTCCTAATCAACGTTTGGGAAACGGCTCCCTCCCATTTCATAACTGCTCTTTGAGTCAGTTGAGCCGTTCGTGATGTCTTTTTTTATGCTGGCGCAGGGGGGAGCACATGTGTGGCACGTGTAGAAGACGCATTTAGGAAAGCCCCGTCATTGCATTTCACATCGGTTGCACCAGCACGGTCTCCCTTCATTTAACGGCTGTATATGTTCCGCTGCCATAGAGTTAATTCCGTCTATGGAGGTTCAACTCGCCCGCATTCACTTTGTACATTCGTTTTAGATGACCCTGAGCTTTGTACAGCACAGGAATTTTGCGTCTTCCAGGAAGACGAGGACGCAACAGTCATCGTTAACGAAGAGATAATGGAGGAAACCCCACAGCAGGTGGGGGTGATTGTGGTCGAAGGTATGTATTAACTAGTAAATGTTAATTGGCCCTAGTTCGCCATAACGCTATCCACATAATATTGTCTCCCTTGTCTTTTTGGTAATGTATTTCTGCACATAATTATGTGCATGGTAATATTGCAGACAATCCTCATCTGCACTATCCCACGGAATGTCGGACAGCTGTGGAGACCTCCACCGTCATCTCGACAACAGTAAGCCATAAAGAACAACACAAAATGGCGTTGGTCAGTGGTACGTGAACAGTTTTAGATGTAAAGCAGTTGTTTGTTGATCACATGTCATGCCGTCAATATGGTTCTCTCGACTGCCAAACTATGTACATTCAGTGGCGTATCTCATGTTATGTAACCAAGATTTGCAAAAGGCTTATTAGCTTACAGACAAACACCTAAGTGTAATTGTGCTTTTATCTTATATTAAAGCATATTCCCGGGATAGTTCAGCGACACCAGATGATGACGCCTGTTCATCGGTCGTTTGGCGCTCCATCTCCTTGCTAGTATTCTAGTATTATTGGTAATGACGTGATAGCGAACTACAACTAAGGAACAACTTACTAAGAATAAATAGCACCGTAGGTACACCCGATGATGTGTCAGGTCAGGTCAGGTTTTATTGAGGGAAATGTAGGTAAATACCTTTGAAGTCCCTATTGGTACAGAACAGTTATTGAATGAATTTGTTCAGCAGAACATTTCAGAACTGTGGCATTGCCAGTTATTGGAAATGGGTAAGTGGAACTGTAATAGTTATTACTTTTAAACATAATCCTGAGGTACTTCAGACACACTAGACTGCCCGCTGAGCTCTGTTCGGCTTTCAGAAACAAAACCTGATCGATAAATGCGATTACTTACTTAGTGGCATTTTTTCTTTAGATTTTCGGTGTCTATGAAAATTCAACGCTACTTTATAGAAAGTGTAATCAACAGTATTTTTTTTCTTGTATTAATTTAACAGAAAATCACCTCCTTTTCATATGTCTTAACAGAACGAATTACATGCTTTTGTTTATAAAATCTATTTTAATCCCCGAGTAATTGTGAGCCCGATCTGCAGTTGCCATTGCACTATAATCTACAAGGTATATACACCTCGGGTATGGAATATCATAAATTTCCTTATGTCATTAATAAAATAACATGTAAGTGGTCATCAACTACACTAAAAATGCGATCTGAATAGACATTGTATAGGATTAATAGATTTTTAAATTAGACTTTTTAAAATTTTAAAGGGAGCCCTACATACTTCAACTGAGCATTCTGAAGAAACCGAGCTCTGCTATAAAATGCTTAACAGAAAGAATATTTTGATGGTATTTTCTGTGAAATATATTTAAACTTGGAAAAAATGCGCACTGTGGAGGTAGACAGAATCATTTTCTCCTGATCAAAGCATGAAATACATATTAATTAATACAAATAAGCAATGCGGGCCAAACCAACGCCGTATTTGCCTATGGGCACAGGATTGTGTATGCATAGTTCGCATGTATAGTGCCGTAGATAGAACTCATAGTGAGTTCCTCTGCCATCGCC